ATATTGCGTTTATAGTTAGTATATATCTCAGCCTTGATATCTCAAGTGTTTTGAATGCGCAAAATTTAATGCGTTTATAGTTAGTATATATTCAGTACATGTTTCAATAATCTTCTATTACACCAAAACAACCAAACACAACGAAGTTGACAGCAATCCGAAAAAATTATGTATATTTACATTATATAAAGTTGAAATCGTACTCATGTACATATACTAAAAATATACTATCGACCTTAACATATACTAAAAAACAGTATATTTGTCGATGAAATATACAAAAGATATAATCAATGTATACAGTCGACATAAAAGAAAATACACAACACATAAACAGAAATCAATCGTACATTATAGACAAAATACATACAAAAGATATACACAAAACACATTAGACCATAAAATTCGTATCTCAGAAATCAATTTATTCCTTCTGCACATCCCTTTCTCAATATCTCGTCATCCACACGCGCAACTGTCGGAGTCCATCGTCGTCTCTTCAAAAAACAACTACAGGGATCTACCACATCTCCGGCTTCTAGCCTGCGCACGACCACTTCTTTTTTCTTCTATTTTTTTTAGTTAGTAACGAGCTCTCCTCTGGCCCACGTATGGCCAATCCAGCGACCGTCATAGCCACAACGACACGACCCCGCGGCCTCCGGCCATCAGCCACAATGAATCGGCCACCACCACAGACCACCATGTTCTCTTCTCTTCAGAATTTTCTTCTCTTTTTCCTTTTGTTGTTTTGATCGCGGGCCCTCTCTGAGTCCACCTTCAGTGGAGCCATGCGTCCATCTCAGCCACCATAAACTGCCCCGCATCTAACAATTCACAGCCATCGCGACCACCACGTTCCGATCACCGCGGCGCAACAACCACCTTGTTCATTTTTTTGTGGCGTGTGAAGAAGAGAGAGTGTGGGATGAGGAGGAAAGAGAGATAAAGATAACGAAAAAAAAATTATTTCCGCGTCGAGAACGAGTTTTCGCCATGGATATGACGTCTGAAGAAGAGAGAGAGAGAGAGAGAGTCATATAAATAGGAAAGTTACATATTCAAACCAACTTCTAGTATATACGTTGTACGCAAATAATATACTAATTTTAGTTACGTTGCTAATAATTATACAAGGTGGTAAACTTGAAATAATGTTGTAAATACTTAGTAGACTATGCAATTTTCTCTTATTTTTTGTTTCATGGATCAATACTAATATATAATTCCATTTTTCCTTTAACAAAGAAAAAAAAAATAAATGGCAGAAGAAAATGAGTAAAATAAAATAATTAAAAATCCTTCCCAGCAGCCTAATCCACCAAGCAGAGCACCCCCACCATCTGAAAGCAGAGGACAGTGTGTGCACATGCTCACGTCAACCTACACTCACAAATTGTTCTTCAAAGTCATCAACATCACAAACTTTTTTTGTACTAGTTTAATCCATTGCATATCGTCCCCATGTGTACTATTATAATACCATTCAAAATATATAAAAAAATAAATGAAATTAAATAACTAAAATAAATAAATAAATAAATATAAGCAATATCTAAATCTTGGGTCCCTATTTTATACGGACGTGACTCCATGCATGTTTTTCCAGGGCGTAGCCAGAAAATTTTTTAACCTGGAGCTGCATATTATTGTAGCAATTATTAGAACCTTCTAGACATGGCCATGAGCCGACCTAGCCTGTCGGTTCGGCCCGAACTGACACAAATTGGCCCGTTGACCATGGGTCTTGAACTGGTACGTGGTATTGACCAGTTCGATTCATGTACAATACCTTATAGTTCATACATTTTGAATATGCAGTTTCGGTTTTGGATTGGAATCGGAATCCGAGGTTCGACATTTTTTAAAAAAAATATTATTTTAATTATTTTTTATTTTTTTAATGTACCGGCCGACCAATAACCGACAGTTCAATGAACCGACCCGTACATATGTTCGCGTCGGTTCATGGTCCTCCAACTCTCGGCCCGGTATCGACGGTTTCGACCTGTAATCAGTTTTGGTTATGATTAGAAACAAAATATCCTTTAACATATGTCCGTTTGAATTGAAAAAACTCTATCTCGAATGCTTTTAAATTTAAACAAGCCAAACTCAAATAGCTAATCGAATTTGTCGATCAAACAAATAGAGTCGAACATGTTTGCAATCAAATCTGTACGAGATTTCTCTTTGTCTAGGAAATGATGTCGAGTTAATTATTGGAGGCGAAATCAATAAATAAATAAATAAATAAAAATAGATAACGGACTATGGACTGAGACAAACCCAATTAAATAGCCCGTTTGAGAAGTCCGTGTCAAACTTAATTATCCAACTCATTTGATATTTATCAAGTCAACCGATTAAAAATATAAAAGGCAAGAATGTGTTGGGTCACATTAATTCAGACATTCAATTGATAAAATCTAATAAGGTCATAGTTGTCATTTGACAATAAAAGATTGTATTATTTCCTCACTACAATCATCATTTTTTCACCATTGTTGTCAGATAAAAAATTTTAACCTGGAGATATTCTTGAGGCATTCAGTCTAAAATTAAATGGGGCTACATAAAAAATTACATGGGGCTAATGGGTTTATGTATCATTTTTTTTTTAAAAAAAATAAGACTAACAAAAATAACGTTAGGAAAAAATTACATGGGGCTGGAGCCCACCCTAATCTTAGGGTGGCTCCGCACAGTTTTTCCACATACATTATTATTCCATCCCATTATTTAATTTCTGAAATTGATATATATATATTTGTTTTTTTCTTCAATTAATATTCATGTATATAAATGTGAATTGGGAAAAAAAATCAATTGTGGTATATTAATTAGTTTAAATTAAAGTGAAACTAAATAGGGTACTAAAAAGAAAAACGCAAGTGTACTTCGAATATCAAGTCCAACTTTCTCAATTTTATTTTTATGATAAATGGTGTACAAAATTCACTTTTTTTTTTTCATAGAGGAAGACAAAAAAGGTACCAAATTGATTTTTTTTTTTTCTTTTCATTTTGCGTCTCTCTCTCTCTCTTTCTCAAAGAATTTACCCAAGGACAAACTTTTCGGTTGGCTCAAGTGGTAAGCAGCTTGATGTCGCTTAAGCAAAGTCTCGCGTTCGAGTCCTTGTGATTGTAGAAAAATCTTGTTGGAAGACTAACCCACCATTGACAGGTGTGCGACCCGGGTCGACTAACGGATTAGTCGAGGCAATGCCCCGAATAGCGTGGCTGGCAACTGAAAAAAAAAATAATAAACCAAAATTTATATTTAGATATTTTTAAAATGTTTAGATAGAGAAAAAATTAAGTACAATGTGGATATACATGTATTATTGTATATATATCCATAAATAGAATAAGGCATGTATGGCGATTCTTTGATCAATTGGAGCCGCCCAAGCCCAATCATGGTGGGTGGCTCTCTCAAAGCGATTCCTTTGCTTCCTTCTTAAGCCATTTTCATCCAATCATCAAACCTTTTATGCTTTTGTTCTAATTAATTGTTAAAAGTAATATTTCATGCTCCTTCGGGCCAAATTCCTATCTCTTTCTGGTAGATTTTTTAATGAAAAAATACAAAAAACGAACAAAAATGACTAAATGGACTGGAAAAAACGTAGAATAAACTAAAACGAACAGAAATAAAATATTAAAAAACACATAAAATAACAACAAAAACATTCAAAACACTAAACTCGTTTAATAAAATCCTAAATTAGGTGTCCACAAACACGAAATGTTCGTTCACGAGCAATTCTGCACGACTGTTTTAATTAGAATCTATAAAAAGTGAAAAATCCACAAACGCGTCCAATTTTACTTATATGGGTCATGGGTGTATTCATTTGAGATTTCTAAAAGCCTTTTTACAACTTTAGAAATTTTGATGTATTTAATTTAGATTTTTTTCTTAGTCCTTTAAAAGTCTAAGGGTATTCAATTAGGATTTTAAAAAGTCTTACAAAATCTTGAGGTATTTAACTTATTTGAGTCTACGATTTTTTAAGACTCTGAGATTTGCTCGAATTTCTAAAGAAAAAACCATATACGAATCCTCACTCAAACTTAAGATTTCACATGATTCCTCCAAAATCAAAAAATCTTAAAGTCTCAAATGTCAAAAAATCTACAAATATGACTCGAACTCACAACCGAATACACCCGTTAGTTCATATAATAAACAAACTCTTCATTTACACTCCTAAAGTAAAAGTAGAACTCAAGCCATTTGCATTATTGGTTAAAAACTTAAAATAAAATAAAGATAGCTATTAAACAATGACCAACCTCGTTTTTTTTAATTCGAAAAAAAAAATAAATATAAAAATCATTCCATAAACGCATTAATTAATCGTTTAAATTAAAAAATAAAAATTAAATTAAAAAATAAATAAATGGAAAGTGTCCTTTTATGGTTGCGTATGCAGTGGGCCCCCAGGATCTCATTCCCATATTGCCACCCCCTTTAAATACCACACCACTCTCATCCCTTCCATTTGCATTCAACCCAATTTCAAATCAAATCACAACATTCCCACAAAAAAAATAAAAATAAAAAATAAAAATAAAGAAAAACTGTCTAGCATTTCAATCTCTGATCAATTGTCATCCACTGATCTCATTCATATCTTTGGGTGTTGTTGTTTGCTTAATTCAAGGTAACAATACTATTAATGCTAAGTTGCTAACTAAAAATTCTTGATTCATATGTGTACTTTCTTCCATCCCACTTTCATCTTCTCTCTAGTCTCTAATGATAGTTACTGAACTTCTTGTTGTTGCAGCTCAAGAATTACAAAAGGAACAGAGAAGAAATGCCCTGCAAAACAGGCCCCAACCGTATCCCGATGATCCCGTCCGGTACCAAACAAGGTATTGTCACCATTCTCGGCTCCGACAACAAACCGGCAGCCGCCGCCGCCTCCATCCGCAGAACACTCTCCGCCGACATGTCCTCCCGACAATGGCTCCACCAAAACATTTTCCCTCCTTCTTCTCCTTCTTCTTATTCTTCATCATCACACTCCTCTTCTTCTTCTTCTGAAGAAGAGGAGGAATTTAATCGGGCTCCTAGCCAGGACGAGGTCTGGAGATCGATCCAGGCGAGCAACAACCGAGCCTCCCGACAAGAGACCGATCGTCCGTGGGGCTCGATTCTCTCCCACAAGAGCGAACCATCTTCCCTCCCGCCGCAGACCCCTTACGTCCACCCCCTCGTCAAGAGCCGCATGACCCAGCGCAGTCTCGAGATCTGCACCGAGAGCCTCGGCTCTGAGACCGGCTCCGAGTGCTATTTCCCCTCCGCCGAAGACCAACTCCACTTCGAAAACCGAGCCCAAACACAAAAAGAGTATCGCTACGACCTCGATCCGTACGCGGACCTTCGAGTCGTCAAGTACAAGAGCACGCCGCCGCGGCCCCTCCCGCCGCCCCTCCCGTCGGCCAACCGCCTGCTGCAGGCACGACGGGAAGACGGTCGTCTCGTCCTCGAGGCAGTTCCCGTCTCGCCCAGGAACAACTTTCGAGCCTTCCGACAAGAAGGGCGGCTCGTGCTCGCGCTCGTGGGGACAAGTGGCGAAAGGGTATTTGCGTATGACAACGACACTGATGATGATGGTGGTGATGATGGCAAGGGAGAGGATTTTGTGGTGGAAAATAAGATGTCGAAGATAGGTCTGCCGGAAAAGAGGCTGATGATGAAAAAGTTTGTGGCGGTCGGGAATGTGAACGCCGCATTGGCATGCAAGGAGGAGGAAGAAGATGAGATTCCAGTCGTCCCACAGTCACTCCCTACCGCGGCTCCGAGGGTCAGGCGGTTAATCCCAGGGGACGCCTCACTCAATGTGTACGAGTACTTTTGGAAGAACAAAAGCAACGGTTTCGGCAGTTTTGTCGGTTCAGTTCCTAGCACTGCTCTCATCAATCCCATTGTTAGTAGTGTTCCCATGGCAGTCAAAAGTAAAATCTTGATCAGCGACAGCAATAACAGCAACAACAACAACAGCGACAACAACCGTAGCGAGTATGAAAATCGGGATTTTATGATTAGGAAAGGGAAGAAAGGAGAAGATTTTGTGACATATATGAAGGGATGCAAGGAGCCAAGGAGGTCATGGGTGAATTGGGAGCCATATTGCATTGCCACTTCATGAGGATGGCTCAAAACAATAATTACTTTACCTAGCCAAGGCAAACTTTTAACCAAAACCCAAACCCCATTTACATTAATATTGATGATGATCCTTGAAATTAATATAATAATATATATGTATGTAACTATGCACCCACCTATTAAGTATTATTAACCTACAATATGTCATGTTGAGAAAAAGATTAAAAAAAAAAGGAGACTATTTTCACTTGTTTCAAAGACATTTGTGCAGCGAAAAATAAACGTGGGAGGAAGTGAGTATAATATTATTATATTAGTTTAGAGAAGATTTTTACATGAAATATGTCATGTTTTTGTGGTTAGTTTGATTTATGTGGTGTATTGCACTAATAAAACCGAAATCTTGACTTGGTGGGCTGTCTTGTCCTGTCTTTATTCATATAATGCGAATTTCATCACCTTTAATTTTTTTTTTCCTCAGCTTTAGTAATTTATGGTCCATTTGATATTCATATTGGGGACACCACAATCCAATTTTCTAGATTTGTTCTCGTCCTTTTGGGTTTAAAGTGTTTGCATTTCGCATACACGCATTCACAAAATCTTACTCCCATATTAAATCATACAAACCAATCACTGTGCTATCAATTTCAACGATGTACATAATTATTATTATTATAATTATTATTATTATTATTATTTGTATGGTGAAATGTTACTTTAAAGTTTAAAGAGAACGATCATTAATAACAATAAATAATTTCACTTATTTATGCATCATAAATTATACTAACTCCTATTCTTTTTAAATGTCATTTTGGCATTATCAACTATTAACAAAATAAATGTCGTTTTGGATATTTTGTACACATTTTTTTATTATTACCCTCATCTAACTAATAAATACACTACGTCTTTTCATATTCACTCTCATCTTTTTTCAAATTAAATTCATCTCTATCTTCATTAATGAGGGTTATTATGGGCAAAAAAAATATATTCTTAATAACTGTGCAAATTCTCAAAACGACATTTATTAAAAATAGGAGGGAGTACTACTAGTATAACGCTCGTGTATTACACGGTTGTTTGAGGAAAACGTTAATTTTGCAACAAAGAATTTAAAAGAAATAAAATTCTTATTGTGAAATAAAAATAATTAATAATTAATAATAAGGTATGAGAAGTTGTAATATTAGTTTAAATTCTAAAAAATATTTTGTATGAAATATTATTTACTTTATTTAAGATATATCTTTTTTTTTCAAAATTAAACAGAATAATATATTTATTGTGCAGTTAATATAGCGCCCGTGAACAACCGAGATACATTAAAATAAAAAAAAAAATATTTAATATAAAAATAATTAAAGAAATTTATATCTTTATAATTTAATGATAAAAAATTAAAGCATAAATTAAATAAATAAAAAAGTAAAAAAAAAAATTAATTATTTAATATAATACCTATAGTTTACACTTAGTTTGTTAAAATTATATTATATTAAACACACCCACCCACCCACTCACCCACCCACACACACACACATATATATATAGGGATTGGTTTCAATGCATCCACATTCTTAAAGTGAGTACGTGAGTTTCATTTCTAGCCACAAGATTTGGTACATAATGTGTGGCTAAGATTTAATCGTTTCTTTTTATTATTTTAATTATTTAAATATTGTTTTGACCCGTTGACTCCGGCGTTGACTTCCGGTAAAAGTCCGCTGACTTCTGGCATTGACCGTTGACAACTAAACTTGCAAATTAAAATAAATAACCTATCATGCTAGGTTAATTGTCTGATAGTGGTAGGTTTTTTTTTAAAAAAAAAAAAACAACGCCCCCGGGGCGGGGGATTGGCCTGGATCCCCAACCTGTATATAGATCAAGACCCCAAGAAGGGCCCAAATATCAACCAAATACAATCAACATAGTCTCACAATCAAAAGGAAGACAAAAACAGAAAAGGAAAAGGAAAGGAAATACTACAAGGTCTGTCATCGGGCTAACAGTTGTGCCCGGAATAAATGTATGATCAAAGGAGAGAAAATGAAATCTACTGAAACCGAAAAGATGGATATCCAAGCTGGTCCATCCGTACCAGCGTGCAAAGACGGAGTGGAGCAGTGGTGTGGGTCTGATGCGTGTGTAGGTTCGATGTGGTGGCGCCAAGGCTGGCAAGGTAGTCGGCAGGTCTGTTCCCCTCACGGAAGATGTGCGTAATCCTGTGATGGACAGACCGTAGGAGAGCTCTAATGCGCATTAGCGGGTGCTGAATCTGCCACGAGCCCTGGTGGCCCGAGGTCAGGATGGTGACGACCGCCGCAGCGTCCAGCTCGATCCAAATATGACTAGAGAGGTGGCAGCGAGATGAAGGCCAATCTGTAGAGCCTGAATCTCTGCATCGTAGCTCGAGGAGGCCTGAAGGGACGTGTGGAAGGTGGTGATGAGAGCGCCGCTGTGGTCCCGCATCAAACCTCCTCCTCCGGCAACTCCGGTCTGGCGATCAAAAGAGCCATCAGTGTTCAGCTTGACCCAAGGGGAGTCGGGTCGAAGCCAAACGACAGCTCTGGGTCGAGGAGGCCGAACAGGCGCATGGGGAGCTACCAAGTAGCGGTGTGGTGGCGTGCAGCCTGTCCAGTCTCTGGCAGTGAGCCTGCCCAATGATGTGAGGAGTGAAAGAGGTCTCTGTACCTGCAAAACAATGTGAGAAGGCAAAAAAATAATATCCCTATGCTTCGCACTATTCCTTTCCGTCCAGGTGAACTAAAGGATCAGACAAGGAATGAGGAAGCCCACGTGTCTAAAGTGTGTGCTCTGTGAGAAAAAACTCAGGAGCTCAAAGAAACTGTCTGTGGTGGGTAGGGATATATGAGTCCAAGTGGCAAAATGCTCCCACACTCTCCTCACAATCTCACTCTCTAGAAAAAGGTGGGTAAAGGTCTCCGTCTCATGACGTCCGGTCTCAGAACAGCACACACACCGGGAGGGGAAGGAGATCCCCCTCGCATGTAAAACAGTGTCCACGGGTATCCGGCGCAGGAGGAGGCGCCAAAGGAAAACCGAAATAGTAGGGGTGAAGAGATCGCTCCAGATG